CTACAGATAGTAGTGACAGAGTAAAACAAAACATATTTTATTTAGACTCTATACCAGGGTTTCTCCAGAGGTTGCTAGGAATTCCTTGAGCATTGAGGAATTTCTGCCTCTCAGATAAGTTCCCACTGACACCATTGATCTTTTTAGACATCTGTAAGTCTGTAAGGGGGTAATTCTTCCCAATGATCACAAATGTAAGGACTATTCTTCCCACTAACCATCACACCAATGTATCATGAGTTGCAGATATAGTTATTTTTAGCAGGGGTTCTGTGAGACTGAAAAGGAATTTCAAGGGTTCCCCCATGCAGGGGTAGACTGACCATTTGGAAACTCGGGCACTGCCCGAGGGCCCGGGGTCAGTAGGGGGCCCCATGAGATGCCCTTGGTACCTTTTTCATAGGCTTTTTTGAGTTTGGGCAAGGACACAGGGGCCCCATGATCCCCTATTGCCTGGGGGCACCATGAGTTGTCAGTCCGCCCCTGCCTCCATGTTAAAAAGTTTGAGAAAGGCTGCTCTATACTGTGTCTTCAAAGCAAATTTTCCCTTTGTACATTGTATATATATATATATATATATATATATATATATATATATATATATATATTTATTTATATATACACGTTACAGAAGACACCGTAGCTGACTGAAGGGTAAGATTCTATTTCAGATAAAAGTTGTTTATCCTTTATTGCAGTTATACATTTTTGCAAATAAAAAATGGTTCTTCATCAATTTAGGCCACAATGTATTCTGGTACATTTCTTTGGTGAAAATAGATGAAATTGTGGGAAAAACAATTATTTTCCTTTCTGCTATAAAACATAACAAACAAAACAAAATTGATTCATACATTTTGGATAAAATGTATTCTGCTACATGTCTTTGATAAAAACAAATCCTCCTAAGTGTATATTGATTGGTCTGCATAAGCCCTCATGCATTGTGAACATTTTACAGCGGTTGTGTTTGGCTTTTGATGTTTTTTTCTACAGCCAGTACACCCCCCAGCACAGGGGCGGACTGACCATTTGGAAACCCGAGCACTACCCGAGGGTCCGGGGTCAGTAGGGGGCCCCATGAGATTCCTCTGGTACCTTTTTCATAGGCTTTTTTGAGTTTGGGCAAGGACACAGGGGCCCCATGATCCCCTTTTGAGGGCCCGGGGTCAGTAGGGGGCCCCATGAGATGCCATTGGTACGTTTTTCATAGTCTTTTTTTAAGTTTTGGCATGGACACAGGGGCCCCATGATCCCCTATTGCCGGGGGCCCCATGAGTTGTCAGTCCACCCCAGCATGTTATCCTAGGTGTCCATGCACACATAGACTGTAATCAGCATTTTTTGGCTGGGACGTTTTTTGGCTGGAGAACGCTGAAAAATGCTCTAATGCTGAAAAACGCACCAAAACTTGGTAAAATGCGGTAAAATGCCACAAACCGGTGTTTGTGGACTTTTTTTGACGTGATCAGTGACCTATAATAGGACTGCGATAATGCGGCAGGCAATCTGACACTAACTGACTCTGGGGGGGAACTGACATCACCAGTGATATTAACACAGTGATCAGTGATAATATTATACACTGTCACTGTACTAATGACACTAGCTGGGAAGGGGTTAACATCTAGAGCAATCAAGGGGTTAAATGTGCGCCTAACTATGTGTGCTGCTTTTATTATTATATCTCTAAGTTTCTCATCCCTGTTTTGAACCAAACCCGCCCCCACCCCCCACTTACCCAGCCAATCCCAACCACCCGTCAACCCCCTGCAATCCCAACAATGCAACCCCCAGTTGGAAAACCCACCCGCCCTATAACCCCCCACCCTGAAGGAGAGAGCTGAGGGTGAAACACCAGCCCACTGACCCCTCCCCCGACCCACCAGCACCCACAAGAAGGAAACCTAATACCCGTACACACCAAAGGCACATGGAATAAAAACCACTTGTGTGCAATCAGCTAATCATTGAACCATGGAAAATAATGGATATTGACCCAACTGGATATACACTGAGAGATACACAGTGAATGAAACCTGCTAGGCAGTGACCAACAATCTATTTAGAGAGGGGGTGATAGGGTGGTTGGGTTTTCCAACTGGGGGGTGCATTGTGGGGATTGCAAGGGGTTGGTGGGTGGTTGGGATTGGCTGGGTAGATGGGGGTTGGGCGGGTTTGCTTTATGGAGGATTATTCCATCGAGGTTGTGTAGACCCAATGGACATGTTTCCCATCCATCTATGTCCCACATGGAGGGTTCCCTTCTACTCTAAGGGTCAGGGTTCTTAGTGATGTTGGGCATGGGGGATTATTCCATCGGGTTTGTGTAGACCCAATGGACACATTTCCCATCCATCTATGTCCCACATGGAGGGTCCCCTTCTACTCTAAGGGTCAGGGTTCTTAGTGATGTTGGGCATGGGGGATTATTCCATCGGGGTTGTGTAGACCCAATGGACACGTTTCCCATCCATCTATGTCCCACATGGAGGGTCCCCTTTTACTCTAAGGGTCAGGGTTCTTATTGATGTTGGGCATGGGGGATTATTCCATTGGGGTTGTGTAGACCCAATGGACGCATTTCCCATCCATCTATGTCCCACATGGAGGGTACCCTTCTACTCTAAGGGTCAGGGTTCTTAGTGATGTTGGGCATGGGGGATTATTCCATCGGGGTTGTGTAGACCCAATGGACAATTTTCCCATCCATCTATGTCCCCCATGGAGGGTCCCCTTTTACTCTAAGGGTCAGGGTTCTTATTGATGTTGGGCATGGGGGATTATTCCATCGGGGTTGTGTAGACCCAATGGACACGTTTCCCATCCATCTATGTCCCCATGGATACCCCTATCTAATGTCAGGGTTCTTAGTGATGTTGGGCATGGGGGATTACATTGGGGTTGGAGGGTCCCACCATCTTCTCCCGCTCTAAGGGTCAGGGTTCTTAGTGATGTTGGGCATGGGGGATTATTCCATCGGGGTTGTGTAGACCCAATGGACAATTTTCCCATCCATCTATGTCCTCCCACATGGAGGGTCCCCTTCTACTCTAGGGATCAGGGGTCTTAGTGATGTTGGGCATGGGGGATTATTCCATCGGGGTTTGTGTAGACCCAATGGACACGTTTCCCATCCATCTATGTCCCACATGGAGGGTACCCTTCTACTCTAGGGGTCAGGGTGCTTAGTGATGTTGGACATGTACGCCACATCTCCGATGTTTTATATTTGCTTGTTGTTGTTCAATATACAATTCTTGAGGTTAGCCTTTTTTTTTTTTCTTCTCTCTTTGTTTTTTGGTGTTGGCTTAGGTGGCATCCTTCCAGGCACCCTGGTGGCACCTCAATTACATGCATTGTGGTAGATTGTGGACTCCCCAGCTTTTTCCCCTTCTTTTCCCTTCCCCCCTTTTTAACATGAGCCAAAGTTCAGCCAAATCCAGGGGAAACCATCACAATAGCAGGCTGCTGGCCCAATCCGCTGTTCCCAAGGACGTCCTCACCCAGCAGCTTCACGTAACAAAAGGGAATGCCGGCTGATGTCATCATCTAAATAGGACCATTGGCCAAATGGCTGAAAGGAAAAATACATTTTTGGTTTTAGATACACTTTAATGACCATTATTCTAAAATCAAAAAGCAAGTCCACTTCCATCATTCGTATGGTTTTGATTGATTTTTCATGGTTCGGTCTACACAAATCTGAGAAGTCTAAAACCAAACAGCAAACAGTCAAATAAGAAATTTGGAGGACAAAAAAAAAATTGTTTTATTTTGATTAGTTTTTTAAAAATAATTTAGTTTAGGGAAATTTATTTAATTTGTTTAAATGATTTTTACAATTCATTTAGTCTCAGTTCGTTTGTTCGTTTTCAAATGAAAGGCTAATTTTACGAATTATGTCAAATTGAATTCCTTTTGACCGAATCGAAAAGCATCGAATCAGCATTTGAATAAAAATTTGAATTTCAGAAAATGGTTATATTATTTCTAATTTATTCTATTCTATTCTATTGTTGTTATGTTCTATTTTATTTTTATCTATTCTATTATATTCTTTTCTATTTTATTCCTTTATTTTCAATTCTATTGTATTCTATTATTTTATTTTGTATTCTGTTTTACTCTATTATTTTCTATTCTATTCAGTTTTGTTCTAGTCTATTCTTTTCCAAATTAAAAATTTTGACAGTTGGCTATGTTTTATTTTATTCTACTCTATTTGAATCTATTAATTCTATTCTATTCCCTTATTTTCTATTCTATTTTTATTTTCTTTTTTATTCTATTTATACTATTCTATTCTTTTCCATTCTGTTCTATTCTCTTATTTTCTAATCTATTTTATTCTATGCTTTTATTTTTGTTCAGTTTCAATTCTGTTGTATTCTATTCTTTTGTGTTATATTTTGTTCTGTTCTACTCTATTCTTTTCTATTCTATTCTGTTTTATTCTATTCTATTAATTTCCAAATTCAAATTTAGGCAGGTGGCTATATTCTATTTTATTCTATTCTATTAAAATCTATTATTTCTTATCTATTCTATTCCCTTATTTTCTATTCTTATTTATTCTTTTCTTTTATTTTTTTTATTCTATTTATGCTATTCTATTCTTGTATTTTCTATTCTGTTCTATTTTTTTATATTCTCTTATTTTCTAATCTCTTTTATTCTATGCTTTTATTTTCTATTCCATTTATTTTCTATTCTGTTTTTTTTATATTCTATTCTTACCTTTATTTTCTATTCTAGTTTATTCTATTTTTGTTATCAAATCCAATTTTATTTTTTAATTTGATTTATTCCAATTTGCATTTCAAATGTAATTGTGTTTCTTTATTTCGTATTCGTTTACATTCATTGTTGCTATTGAATTACTATTGTAATTCAGAAATTTGGATACATTTGAGTTCAGTTTTATGTTATACCTAACATTTTGTTTTTATTTTCCCTACATTTTCCTTTAGGTGAAGTTTGGTAGAGCCTTCTGAATC